CTTTAAGAACTTCCTTCCACTTCTGTCCCACCCATTTCAACACAGGCTGGGTGGATGTGTGCTCTGTGATGAGGAAACTCGGCTTGGAGACACAGCCCAGAGGAGGAGCTGATCCTAAAAGATGATTCTAGACCCAACCGGTAGTTTTTGCTCCCCTGCCTGGCTGCCTCAGGACACCACAGGATTTCTCAAACATGCATGAATGAGTCAAAGTCAGACTCTGGGCATGTTTTTGATGAGAGGATAACATTATAACATGATATTAAACTCAAAAAAGTTGATTTTACATGATATTGCCTCTTTAAGGGTTTAAACACTTTCAYTCATTTACCTGTCTGAGCTTGAGCTTTCTTCTTCTTCTTAGTCTTGGTTTCTTCAATGGGAAAGAACACACCCTCCCCACTTAGTGCCACCACACGCCTGTCAGCCAGAGGGATTATGGGTAGATCTCTGAGGTTTTGCAGAAGGGAATCCCCATCTCCGTAGCCATGCTCTATAGCTCGAAAGTTACAAACCAGCAGCCTGGCCAGCTGCCGAAGGCCCCCCTCTGGAAGGAAGACCACCCGATGAGGTTAACATGATGCAGATTAAATGTCAGTTTGTCTTTAATAAACATAAAGACAAGAAAACTATTCTTTCTTTAGCTTTCCAGTGAACACTGTGAATCGTYGCTCTTCACACACCTGAGTGGATTTCCTTCGCGCTCACCAAATCCTTTGCCATAGTTGTGGTTACCGTGGTAATGTCTGATCCTCGAATGTGTCGAACTCCCAGCTGAGTGAGCAGGGAGGTGGGAGGCTGGGGGCTTAGACTCGGATGGAGATAAGACAGAGACAGATGCCTCTCCAGCTCGTCACCGCCAATCACTTCACGGATCACAGCGTCCTGACAGACGGCCACCTGAGACGGCAGCTTGTATACAACCTTACCTTCTGAATAAAATAAAATAAAATAAGTGGGGGTTACGTGATCCTTGTTTTCAATTTGCTTTAAAGGTTTCAGGTGGGAGTAATACCTGAGCTGAGTGTCGGCAGGAAGGCCTTGCCTTTAAGCAGCTGTAGAATCTGCCCAGCAACGGGTTTGAAAAAGTCCAACACTTCGTCGGGGAGGGGAATGAACTGCAGGAACTGACAGAGACCCTTCAGACCCCGAAACTCTGGATGAGCCTGAAACAAAATACAAAGTTTAAGACAAACAGAATACAGAAAGGTGCTTTTAACTCGTAATAATCTGTGATGTTTAGATCATCCTGTAGATGAAGTACAAATTCAGACTTTTTAACTCATCGACTTGTTTTATACGTGTCTTTTTTTCACTGTGCCCTGCCATGTTATGTGTCCTCTGCAGCGCAGACATCTTACAGTGAACACATCCATGGCCTGGAGGAAGAGCTGTGGTATTTCTGATCGAAGCCACTGGTTCCACGAGCTGTCCCTGTCCACGTCTTCCCGAGAGGAAGGGATGTCGAAGTCAGCTGGAAACAAAAAGGGCATTCATGAATTTCTGCTAAAACAAAACCACCCATTGATGGAAAGTTGATTCTGACCTTGGATGATGAAGCGGAAACCAAAACTGCGAAGYGGCAGATAGGCAAACACCGGCTGCTTCTGAGGCTGGCAAATGATTTCATCCTCTGCAATGTTGCTGCCCAGCTGGAAGGCCAGAGCAAGTTCTGTTGACTCGACATCTTCTCTGATCTGAAGGAGAAACGTATCATGAGTTGTGATTTTAAAACGACCCAAACACCAGAGTGAGGCACAGGAGACAGGCACTGCAGGCGTTGACATCCAGGATTTTATTAATAACACTGGAAGATGCTGCCATGAGCTGAACAGACAAACACAATAGCCCCCTCCAAAAAATCACAAGCTGCTTTTGTACTCTCACAAAGCACCAAGTCAGCCATGCTCTGCAACTATGTGAAGTTTCAATGCAGAACCAAAGGAGGTAAAATATGATTGATAACTCCTAAATACAGCCATCTCTCATCACTACACCCCACCCTCGAGCTGTGATGCCATCTTGCCTTTTCATATATGAGACCCATTATATTGAAGCAAGGATTAAGTCCAAAAGAGGTTTGTCCGAAATAGGCAGCTATAGATTATTGGTTAACACATTTGCAATTATTGCATTTTGTCAAAATACAATGAATAAAATCCTTAAACGGGCTATCTCATGTAAAATCAACTTTTTTGAGTTTTATATCATGTTATAATGTTATCCTCTCATCAAAAACATGCCCAGAGTCTKRCTTTGRCTCATTCATGCATGTTTGAGAAATCCTGTGGTGTCCTGAGGCAGCCAGGCAGGGGAGCAAAAACGACTCGTTGGGACTAGAACCGCCTTTTGAGACCAGCTCCTCCTCTGGGCTGTGTCTCCAAGCCGAACTTCCTCAACACAGAGCTCACSTCCCTGCCCCGCTCTGTAACTCCTGCAGGCTATCGACAGCAACAACTAGCAAACACCCRGTGAAAMCCATGTCTGCTGAGCCCCCAATACTACTTCTCAGTGCAGCCATAGATACTACACAGAGCCTCTGCATCACCMCTGAACTGAAGGTGACATAGTTATATTATTATGGTATAGAATTTCAATATATGCCTGGGAAACACCAACATTGCCCCTTTAATTTTTTTAGGTTTTCCCTGCGATCTAGCAAAGCTTTTTTTCTTTCCAGAATATTCAGAAATAGTTTGAGTTTTCTCTTTAAAATGACATCAAAATATCAATAAGATTCAGACCAAAAACCAATGGGTTATCCTGATTAGGAAAGCAAATCAAGGCATATCACTGGAAGCACTCATGATATCAGAATCTGAAAATGTGCTGAGGCCATTTTGATTAAATTAGACCTAATCCTCAATTTGATGTGATGGGTCATATATGGACTGATACGTCTCTGTTATAACCTCACTTGGTGGCTCAGAGGTGTAACAGCAGTGGGTTGACTGCAACCCATCATGCTGCCTCAGTCATTTCAGAAATCACAGCTCAGAAATTTTTATAGATAAACATTTGTTAATATTTAGATTTTTCTAGGTTTTATTAGCCTTTATTGTCCCGCAGAGGGAAAATTAATTCTCTGCATTTTACAGTGAGCAGTRGACAGCCAATTACAGCATCTGGGGTGCAACTGAGGGGTTAAAGGGATCCATAATTAGTTGTCACATTAGACTTTATTTAAAAAACATATATTTTAACTGTAAAATAAAGACTGTAAAAATACTGTAAGATGTGTAGTTTTTATCATTTTTAAAACTAAAAGTTTAAGTTTAAATATATAATATATTTTTAAACTAAAAGTTTACCTCAGTTTAGCTTGTTTGTCGCGCTAGCAC